GATGCCCTAATTGGAGAATAGGTTGTTATCAAGACATAACACACCCACACTTGCATTGAAAATGCTAACTTTAAGATTGTTCCTACGTTTTATTAATGTAGAGGCTTATGTTGCACAGAGGTGGCTGGCCTTGTGCATGACGGAGCGACTATCGATCTCTCAAGGTAAACAATGGCAGGAATGTCTGCCTTAAAAGGCTTTGGTTACTTTTATTTTTATAGTGATAATTGTCATCACCTTCCTTGTGGGACCAACACCACACCAGTGCTGAGGACGTGAATTAATGATAATCAACCTCTGACAAGAGGACAGTGTTTGTCTTGTTGATGGTGAAGGGCTCTGGAACCAAATAATTTTAGCTAATAGGTTTACCGTTTCCTCAATTATAATACGTATTGCATTCATGGGGAACGCTAAATCCGTAGGGGCCATACAACGCCTGGGAAAATGGAAGGCTTTCAGACTGATTCAGGGAATTGGAGCACAGGTTTCAATAGGTTTATTATTATATAAGGTTTCCGTAGGATTACCTCAAGAGATTTCTTGATACTGATGAGGGGTCATCCTTCCCATCCATTGGATCGAACCAGAGTGCCTCTTCTCCAGGCGCTGTATAACCCTTATGGGTTTAGAGCTTGCCCATAAAAAATGTATCTTCCTCCAATAGGTACAGAAACGTTAGTGTGTGTGTGTGTGTGTGTGTGTGTGTGTGTGTGTGTGTGTGTGTGTGTGTGTGTGTGTGTGTGTGTGTGTGTGTGTGTAGGCAAGTCACGTCGTTGTATCCTGTAACACTAATTACAGTATTGAATTCTTTATAGATCTCGGGTTGTGATTCTGTACTCTGCTGCATTATTGATTTGCAAAATCAATACACACACACACACACACACACACACACACACACACACACACACACACACACACACACACACACACACACACACACACAGGGATAACAGGGAAGGCACTACAATGGATCAGGGAATACTTGTCAGGAAGACAGCAGCGAGTCATGGTACGTGGCGAGGTGTCAGAGTGGGCACCTGTGACCAGCGGGGTCCCGCAGGGGTCAGTCCTAGGACCAGTGCTGTTTCTGGTATTTGTGAACGACATGACGGAAGGAATAGACTCTGAGGTGTCCCTGTTTGCAGATGACGTGAAGTTGATGAGAAGAATACACTCGATCGAAGACCAGGCAGAACTACAAAGGGATCTGGACAGGCTGCAGACCTGGTCCAGCAATTGGCTCCTGGAGTTCAATCCCACCAAGTGCAAAGTCATGAAGATTGGGGAAGGGCAAAGAAGGCCGCAGACGGAGTACAGTCTAGGGGGTCAGAGACTACAAACCTCACTCAAGGAAAAAGATCTTGGGGTGAGTATAACACCAGGCACATCTCCTGAAGCGCACATCAACCAAATAACTGCTGCAGCATATGGGCGCCTAGCAAACCTCAGAACAGCATTCCGACATCTTAATAAGGAATCGTTCAGGACCCTGTACACCGTATACGTTAGGCCCATATTGGAGTATGCGGCACCAGTTTGGAACCCACACCTAGCCAAGCACGTAAAGAAACTAGAGAAAGTGCAAAGGTTTGCAACAAGACTAGTCCCAGAGCTAAGAGGTATGTCCTACGAGGAGAGGTTAAGGGAAATCAACCTGACGACACTGGAGGACAGGAGAGATAGGGGGGACATGATAACGACATACAAAATACTGAGAGGAATTGACAAGGTGGACAAAGACAGGATGTTCCAGAGATTGGACACAGTAACAAGGGGACACAGTTGGAAGCTGAAGACACAGATGAATCACAGGGATGTTAGGAAGTATTTCTTCAGCCACAGAGTAGTCAGTAAGTGGAATAGTTTGGGAAGCGATGTAGTGGAGGCAGGATCCATACATAGCTTTAAGCAGAGGTATGATAAAGCTCACGGCTCAGGGAGAGTGACCTAGTAGCGATCAGTGAAGAGGTGGGGCCAGGAGCTCGGACTCGACCCCCGCAACCTCAACTAGGTGAGTACACACACACACACACACACACACACACACACACACACACGACTGTATACTTTCAGGGGGGAGTGCATTGATAACAGTGAAGAGCAATTGGTCCTAGGTACTGTACCTACCCTCTCCTTCTTTGGATAAAATTCAGTTACCTCTCGCACATCACATTCCCTATGCGCTGTATAACCCTTAGGAACTTAGCGCTTTCACATGATGGTAATAATAATAATAATAATAATAATAATAATAATAATAATAATAATAATATACTTAGCTTTGTTATAAACTGCAGTAACATGAAGGTCGTTATATAGAATGATTCGTCTGATGAATTACAATTAAATTCTGCGTGAGAATCCCTGAGGCTGATTAGTCATAATGTGTGAGGTCAGTGAGTGCGCTTTCAAACAATACACAGTCACTTCCATTTTGTGTAAGCCTCGTTGTGACTGCATGACGTACACTTATAACATGACCGCCATGTGTGATAATGAGTTTAATGACAGGCTGCGAGCACGCTTAATGAAGCTTAAAGTGTAAAATGTAACACGCCGAGAAAACTTTAAAAAAAAATCGCAATGAAATTAAGGTTAGTAAACTTTAATATTATTCACTTAAAATAGTGAAATTTTGATTAAAGGTTTATGAACGTGAATTCCACAGTACATTTTACGAGCTGTGTTGCGTGTGGATAGCAACATCGTCTACTCCCTCTAAACCCTTCATTATCAATGATGTGACACAGCGCTGCAATGGCGTCACGCATGTAAACACACCCTCTGACCTGATGTTGATATTGGAAGCTAACGTCCCTCCCTCTATGTTTCTCCAGTTTTTCCCCTCCTTTATTTTAACTAGGGGAAGTGCTAAACTCCCAGGGGTCATATGCTGCCTAGGGAATGAATCATTCGGGTCCGATCTAAGAAAGGGGAGGATAAGACCAATTCCTTCGATCAAGAGCCCCCTCACCGTCAAGCACCTCCTCTGAGGAGTCTTTCTCCCTTTAAATATCCCCCTCTTCCCCATCATCTCTCCTTTCCCTTCCTTCTAATACTCCCTCCCCTTCGTCTCAGCCCCCATCCCCTCTCCAGCGTGTCTGCCACCAACTAAACTTTCCGAAGAATGAGTGCTAAAGTAGACATTCTTATTGGAACATTAATAAGTAAATGTAGTACTCAAGGTCACCAATGTTCTTACACTATCCACCTCACTTCATCACACTCCCCCTTTTATAGCTATTTTTTTTATTCTTTAAGAACATTTTATTGGTTTATAAATTAATGTAATGTGTATATCGTGACTTAATTTTTTTAGTGATTTATAACACTGTGTTTAACATTTTGCTATCGTTGTTTAGCTTACACATTAGACGCCTGAATTCAAAATTGTGCTTAGTGTATGGTTTCTCTTTTTTCTCTCTTCCTTCTTTCGCCCTGTATTATCTAATCCTTCCTCTAGCAGCAGTCTAGCCTCTCCCTCCTTCCTTCAGCTTCTCCATCCTCCCCCCTCTTCCCATATTCCTCTACCTCTTCTCTCGCTCTTTCCCCTCCCACTTTGTACCTAATATTTCCTCATGTACAATAGCTGTTTATTCTCGTTCACTGGACCATGGATGTCGTAATCACAAGTATTCCAAGATTTTCTGGCGTTACTTGAAGCGAAAAATGGTATGGTGATACCAAGATATGGAAAAAGACACTTATGTACAGTTCAGGACATATGCAGTATATTAAGAGAAAACATTTCGTCACTAGTAGCTTCTCCAGTCCTAGGACTGAAAAAGCTACTAGTGACGAAACGTTTTTTCTAATAAGCGCCCCGAATAGTACTTGTCTTTTCCCACGTTACTTGAAGCGTCCCATCCTAGGGGTGCCATGATATTGATGGACTCTTTATCCATGGAACTGGAGCTATAGTTTCTTTCCTTGGATAAAACTTAATTTCCTCTTATTTTCTTTCATGCTGCACGGACCATACGGTTTTAGCGCTTCCCTGTGAATATACTTATAACAAGCCTGTTGGCTTCTTTTGACAGGTGTTTTCATGAAGTGATTTACAGCACATCTCAGAACAATCTTTTAATCTGGTTGTACATAAATGTTGTACAATACCAACAGTATGAAGAACTGAACAGATGTGCAACATTTGGGAATATTTATTTGTAGACGTTTCGCCAACCAGTGGCTTTATCAGTACAAGAACATAATGTGAAGACTGTAGAATTATATACAAAAGATGAGGTAATCAGTCCTTCAGTCTTGAGTTGAAAAGCACCGTGGTCTTGACTGTGGTGCTTTGGCGTGACCTTTATTGAAAAGTGTTTTCACATATCACTGCTTGACGTGAAGTTCGTAGACCTAGAAAGATGTTCTTGCATAGACCTAGAAAGGTGTTTTGCTTTTATTGTTACTCTCTGCAAGTTTAGACTTATTTTACATGGTTACTGAACACATTTTTAAGTGTTTGGATATTTGTTGCAGCCGATTTTTATTTTTTAATATTTCATGTACACCGAAGAGGCACTCACTATCACACAGTATATCCCCTTTATACCTCCACCATACCATGGAGCCTTCGTAACCCCTTCACAAGCACATCATGTATCTAGCACCAACATGACAACAATGACTATTAGCCTACCTATTGTTCCGACCTTTTCTTTTTCACTCGCGATTTAATATCCCAAACTTCGTTCAGTTTTCGTTTACAATTTATGAGCTGTAATTCTTTGAGCTACGGTATTGTACCTTTAGTGTGTTTGAGTCGCTGTATTGTGACAAAGTTACTTGCGATTTTCCCTATTTCAACCAATGTGTTGCGATTTTACTTCAATTCTTGTTGTGACTTCTGTTTAAACCACTGTATTGCGATTTTATTAGAATGATTGTTGTGACTTTTTTTCCTATTACAGCCACTATTTCATTTTTGTCTCATTTCAGGTACTGTGTTGTCCCTTTTATTTACCTGTGTATGTGTTGTTTTCCTGCAGGACATGAGGGCGTGGGGGGCGGTGCGAGTGTCCGGGGCAGAGGGTCGGGCCTCCCGCGGGCAGAGAGCCAAGCTGAAGGCAAGTCTTCAGGTTTGGAGGGGGGCAAACCAGGTGCGGATGACCCTATTAACCTCGAGAGGAGGGTGGGACTCCTCAGTGGGGTTGCTCTGATCGTCGGCACCATGATTGGTAAGTACAGATTGGCTACTCTTATTGGTTGCGTCAGCACCATGATGGGTAAGGGGACATTGGGCCTTTCTGTGGTGCTTGTGTGTCGCCGTGATTGTTATGTAGAGATTTTGGTAACCCTTGGGTGCTTCTGGTGATGTTGGTACCATGATTGGTATGTAGAGATTGGATACTGGTAGTTGTGTTGACTGATTGGTAGCAAGAGATTGTGTGCTTATGGTGGTTATGATTCAGAGATTACTAGATACGTAAAGGCGCATCCGATAGTTAAGATACGACTGGATGTTTGAGTCACATTGTGTTGGCACCTTCATTGTTAGGTACTCTGGAGAGTTCCTGATGTTGTTAACGTGTAACTGGTTAGGTTTAGATAACATGATTGCACGTGGATGTGTGAGTCTGTGATTGGCGGCACCATGATTGATAGGTGTTCTGGATGTAACCATTGATGGTTCGAGTTTCCAATTTGCAAGACCCGTCTGTTCTAAGCGACAGCTCTGTCATTCTGATAGAAATAAAGGTGAATATTCCACTAGAAACAGTAGGAGCATATTCAAGATATGGTATAATATATTTTGGTAAGTAGCTTTGTAGAGTATGTACATTTTTACTGGTTTGTACATATTGAGCCCTTGGCTAAGCTTCATTAGTTTTCATCGTGTACCAAAATGTGCCACATAGACGGTCAGTTTTTGCAACCATGCGTATTTACCATATATTCAAAAACTTCTTTTTACACTGTACAATAGTATACAAAGCTAGGTCAGTACGGTGTGAAATGCCCAGTAATAGGTATCCTCTAGCCTATATTTTGTGTTTAGCATTTGTACCGTTCTATATTTACTGTGCTTATTAAGAGTTGAACGAATGTTTCTAAATTTATGGGATTTATAAATGAAAATCATGACATTAATGAGGTATTTGTAGCCACTAGTTAGATTATTAGTTAATTACTTGATTGCCTTTAATCAGTAAATATTTGATTCACATAAGGTAACCGTAGTTGTCATAAACCATATTGTAGACGTGACCAACTTGCCATCATGATCCAGATACTACAGCCACTTATGGGCACCACCATGATAGTCTAAGTTGTGTAATACAACAGTTTAAAACGCTGATAATACTATGCAATATACTCTAGATTTGTTCTCTCCTCGTGCTTCCCATTCCAGGATCAGGAATTTTCGTAAGCCCGAAGGGTCTGCTGGAGCGGACGGGAAGCGTGGGTCTCAGCCTAGTTGTGTGGGCTGCCTGCGGCGGTCTCTCTCTCCTGGGTGAGTAGTCTTATGCCTTTCAAGGAAGCTTCCTTGCTGTTGGGGGAGACCATTTGATCTGAGGAACTGGAGCTGATTTATCCCTCTCCTCGGATCAAATATGAATCCCCTCCCTTCATCCTCCTCCCTTCCCATCTCCCTTCTCAGAATTTTCGTTTTATAAAATTTTAGTGCTTTGTGTAATATGATTTCTTGTTTTTAACACTGAACGAATTATGGGTAGGGATTGTATATGTGACGTAGGTCTTTCTTTTAAATAATTATTTATGTAATATGGTCGAAAATTGTTCACAGTAAGTTATTAGCAACTTAGCAGCCATAGAAATAATTTCAAAATGCATGTATCAAAAGGTTCAAAGCGTTGAATAAGCAGTGGGGTCTAGTGATTTTTAAACATTAAAAATGCTATTAGTGAGTACTCACGTTGAGTATTTTGGTGACAGTTACTGCGCCACTTAACGCCACAAAACGCTAATCTAAATCATTACTCACCACTAGTTATTATGAATCGCGTGAATTATGATTATCAGAAGTTATTAATATTTATTAAGTTACCAGCCACTGAAGTCAGTGTAGTTACTTTTGAACTTATAAAGTACTACTCTCATGGTTAACAATAATTAAGAAGCTTAGTCTCCCAGGTCGCTATGCATTAAGTCACTTGATTCTTAATTACTCATGATTTAATTCTACAGATGACACATTTCTTTGGCACAACACAGCATGGGCATATTTTCAGACTTATAACCAGCTTATATATTCATTAATAGTCGAAAACAGACACAAGCTGTCACCATGAAATTAAAAATGGCTGAAACATTTTGTTACAAAATGGAAAAAAGACAACCAGTCAACACTAGTTTAAGTCAAACATGAATTGAATTATCCGTAGACTTTTTCATGAGATACACCCATAACTCTTTGCTAAATCTCTTATAAACTTTTAGTGATTAACGTTACATATACAACTTAATGTGTGGCTGATAACTATCACATACCAATTGTTTTGCAAACATTTACGAAATTTTATTCTTATACTGATCATCTTATTTTAGTACCATTACAGATGTATGATGCACTGTACCTGCAGTATTTATTTCAGATGACAGCAGTACCGGGAGAGATGCAGTTGATATATTTAAATATTATCATGTATAAGTCATAGACAAAAGTCTCTCACATGCTTGTTTGAAAGTGTACCGGACACTGAATAATTTCCAGCAGTTCACAGCCTCATTCCAGTTTGAAATCTCAAGCATTAAATACTTTTGTCCATGACATTATTATTATTATCATCTAGTTCTCTAGATTTTTAAAACTAGTCAATCTTATTTTCTACTTTGCTGCTTTCTTTGGACCTTATCGTGACGGGGTGTGGTGTGTGTGATACAAACACCACCACTACCACCACCATCTACCACATCCGCTGCTGATGTCTACATGGTCCTACATTATTACCATCACATCACTGACGATACGGTCTGGACCACTACTATCTCCACCACCACCTTCGCTGCTGCTGCTGCTGCTGCTGCTGCTACTGCTTTTACCACCACCACCACAACTATTATTTCTACTGCTATACTACTAATATACTACTATTAATATACTACTGTACTATTATACTACTGCTACTATACTACCACTACAATACTAATACTACTACTGTGTTATTATACTGCTATTATTATACTATTATTATACTACTATTACTATACTACTATTACTATACTACTATTACTATACTACCATTCCTATAATATTACTACTACCATCACTACTACTATGTACTAATCCCTGTTTTCTATTATTTTTCATTATTCTCATAACAATGATGATAAATTTTCATAACCGCACGCACTGTCATTCACGTCGCAATTGATAAATGGCCTCGTAATGTACGACTGATTTCCCGTGTTTGATCTTGTCTTCCATTGTACAACTTGTCTTCCGTTGCACACCTTGAGGTCCGTCTTACATCTTGTCTTCCATTGTAAATTTTAACTTCCATGATACAACTTGGCTTCTACTGTACAACTCCGGTTATATGCTTACGTTACGGAACATTTCTGCCTGTTGCACTGTGACATTCCTTGGGTATTATGACGACTCGTTCTTGTTGTGTGACTTGTAATTCCTACTGCACGATATCTGTTAACCTCTCATTCCCTTTACTGTACGACATCTCCCCTTTCTCCACTGTACATCTTCCTTTTCTTCATTGTACATTTCTCCCTTTTTCTCCAATGTACGGTATGTCCCCCCCCCCTTTTTCACTGCATGACGACTGCCACCAACCACCTCCTCACCTCACAATGTACGTTGACTACCTCCACTCTCACTGTGCAATAATTATCACCATTTTACTGTACGATAATTAACACCCTTCTCACTGTACGACACTTATCGCCACACCCACTGTTTGACACTGCCCTCTCTCGCTGTACAACTTTCACCAACTGGATGACCATTTCCTCTTCTACTTTTCGACAACGCCCACTCCCATTATACGACTACCTGTCCAACTGCACCACTACGATAACACCCTCACCTATTGTACGTTAACGCCCTCTCCCTTACTGTACAATAATTTTCCTCCCCACTGCAACATGGCGTGGGTATCGTCATGGTGGTGTAACACCTTGGTCACCACAGGAGCGCTGTGTTACGTTGAGTTGGGCTGCATGATCCCATCTTCGGGAGCAGAGCACACGTACTTCCTGACGGCGTTTGGCCACCTGCCGGCATTCCTCTTCGCCTGGGTGACCATCATCCTCCTCAAGCCTGCCATGCTGGCTATCATCTGTCTCTCCTTCTCAAAGTACCTCGTTGAAGCCTTCGCCTCTGATTGTGAACCTCCGCTCATGGCCATCCAACTCCTGGGCGCTCTAACTATTGGTGAGGCCAGGCTGAGGGATGCACGATAGTGAAGCTGAGAGGAGCATAATAGTGAAGTCAAAGTGTACAATAATGATTGTGGTGTGCGATAGTGAAGGCTGGTATGTATAGTAATGTTTATGGTGCACGATAGTGAAGCCTTGGGTGTACGATAATGATTGTGGTGTGCGATAGCGAGGCCAAGGGTGCATGATAATGAGTGGTGGTTGATAGTGAGGTCAGCGGTGTACAATAATGATTGTGGTGGTTGATAGTAACATGTACAGTAGTGAGAAAAAAAAACTTAGAGGGAAAGGGGAGTGACAATAGGTGACTGAGAGCTGGCAAAATATAACAAACAACAATTCTCCACACTTTTCTCCAGCGTATCGTAACAAATTTTTACGTACCTCAAGGAGTGGCATGAGTTTCTAATACAGTTAAATCTGAACGTTGAAGATTTGAAGCTGATTAGGGAAGGCATTCAAGAGTTATCGCATGGAAACTAATATGTAATTTCGTCAATAAAATCTCAAATAGCGCCTACGCAGCCCAAAAGCAATTCGAACTTAATACTAATGTACACCAGCTTTGAAAGTTTGAAGTCCAATTTGAAGTCTTGCTAGTTATTGCACGGAGATCATTTCTCTATTTGTTTAATAAAACATTATAACTTGCACAACCTAGTAACAGAACGAAACTCTGAGCAAAATACACTACCTCTATAAGTGTGAAGCTGCCTCTGCTACTCTGAAGTTGCAGCCTCAAGTTATTTCACAGAGAAAAACCCAGCAATACATTTTTTAATAAAATTGGCACCTTTTCACTCAAGATTACTCCAAAGGTTGATTGATCTAATTGGGATACACCCACACTGATCAGAAGAGGTGCTCTGCAGTTATTGCAGCGAAACCAGTTTACTAAAACTGGGCAGTTAAACTTTACAAACCTGACAATTTGAGTCTTCCTTAGAGCTGAAATCGCCATCATTGAAGCTATTAGAAGAGGTGATCTCCAGTTTCCGTACGGAATCTAACAATTTCACGTCTATTAACGTAGTAAATTGACAAATTTGCACCTATACAGCCTAATCTTAAATGATAATAACAGTTTTATCAACTTGTTCAGCCATTAAAAGTTCAAGCTGTGGAATTTGGGTTTAACGCTTTCTTTTGATTATAATAATAAGCTGTGGAAACGACGTATACTTAAGATATTTCATAGAAAACGTGCCACACTTTGAAAATTTAAATAAACAATTTGGCATCTATACATTTCAGTATCAATCTCAACCTTTGTAATAATGGTAGAATTACCGACAAAATGTTAGGTAAATGGGCACATGCAACAATGCGACATTTTATTATGGCAACGTTTCACATTAGTTGCATTTGTGTCCATTGACTTAACAATCCCAACCTTCTGTGTAGAATATATCAGTGTTGAAGGTTGTAGCCCATTAGAAGAGGGTCTCTTAGGTTATCTCGTGGAGACCAGTTATTTGTGGCGTTCCATCGTGTAGACATCATAATTATTGCTAAACTTATTATAAGTGTTGCACTCACCACCAAATGCTGGAGCTCATGTATCCACGACCTCATCCTGGAGCTTATGTACTACAACCTCGTCCTGGAGGTTGTGAGTACATGAGCTCCCCAATCAGGAATGGACTTATAAAATTGACCAAAGATCACCTGCACTTGGCAGTAGTTGCATCGCAACCAGTTAATGGTGTTGAAACTTTAAAACATACGAATGAGGCGTTCTGAAGTTGTAAGCGAAAACCTTGGTGGAAGGGGATTTTTTTTTTTTTTTACAACGTAGAGGAAGCCATTCGGGGATATTTCCTTGTCAGACACTCGACATCTATAAATTAGTATTTTAAGGCAACGACAGCCTTTTAATTTGTTTATTCATTTAATTTTTTGTAAAGTCGGTCCTCTGATAATGTTACGTTTACGTAAATTTATCGAAGGGAAAAATTTAAAAACTGCCATACAGAACTAACACATCTTAGCAGTTTCATGTTTCGTCTTAAAATTCTGCACGTTTTATTTTCTCGATGTCTGTTTCGAAGTCTTATTTCATTTATATGCATTTTCCGTCTAGTTTAACTTGGAAAAACCCGATATAAATGGCATTATTTAGATTATGGTGTTTTTAGTTAATGTTGGCATTATGCTTGTTTTATATCTTAAAAGTACATGACGATTCCTGCTTGTTTGGGGGTTTGTAACCTACTTCTCAGCATGACACAACCCCACCATTATCCAACACAGTTATGTTTGTTTTCAGCTTTGGTAGAATTTATTTACCAAGGCACGAAGTTGATCTTCCTTCCCCTTCTTGTCCTCTTTTGCCTTTTATTTCCCTACAAACTTCTCTTTCTGCTTTATTTTGGTCTAACTTGCCAGATCTAGGTCATTCTAGTTTTATTCTTGTTTTCAGATGTATCATTTAACATTTAAAAAAAACTGTAGCCGCCTAGAAGAAAAACATTCTTTTAAATTGTTTCAGATGGATTTTTCTTCTGTTCAATTTGTACAATGAATACTGAAGAGAGTGCTAGGAAAATGTAGGAAAACAGAACAAGAGTGACGGCGTGTCGCCCAGTCACTGGTTTACTGACAAACCAAAACTACTGGCGGGACGCCATCATGTAGCCTGTTTTTTTGTTTCGTTTTTTTCTGCATCCCTCATTGGAAAATAGTGTATCAGCATACAGTATCACATACGTCTCCCCTATAATTTGTATATATCGTACCAATCACCTAACTTTCCACTTGTGTACTCACCTATATGTGGTTGCAGGGGTCGTGTATGCATATACTATATATATATATTATATATATATATATATATATATATATATATATATATATATATATATATATATATATATATATGAAGGATGAGGTTAATCATAGAATTGATGAGGGAAAAAAGGTGAGTGGTGCGTTGAGGTATATGTGGAGTCAAAAAACGTTATCTATGGAGGCAAAGAAGGGAATATATGAAAGTATAGTAGTACCAACACTCTTATATGGATGTGAAGCTTGGGTGGTAAATGCAGCAGCGAGGAGACGGTTGGAGGCAGTGGAGATGTCCTGTCTAAGGGCAATGTGTGGTGTAAATATTATGCAGAAAATTCGGAGTGTGGAAATTAGGAGAAGGTGTGGAGTTAATAAAAGCATTAGTCAGAGGGCAGAAGAGGGGTTGTTGAGATGGTTTGGTCATTTAGAGAGAATGGATCAAAGTAGAATGACATGGAAAGCATATAAATCTATAGGGGAAGGAAGGAGGGGTAGGGGTCGTCCTCGAAAGGGTTAGAAAGAGGGGGTAAAGGAGCTTTTGTGGGCAAGGGGCTTGGACTTCCAGCAAGCGTGCATGAGCGTGTTAGATAGGAGTGAATGGAGACGAATGATACTTGGGACCTGACGATCTGTTGGAGTGTGAGCAGGGTAATATTTAGTGAAGGGATTCAGGGAAACCGGTTATTTTCATATAGTCGGACTTGAGTCCTGGAAATGGGAAGTACAATGCCTGCACTTTAAAGGAGGGGTTTGGGATATTGGCAGTTTGGAGGGATATGTTGTGTATCTTTATACGTATATGCTTCTAAACTGTTGTATTCTGAGCACCTCTGCAAAAGCAGTGATAATGTGTGAGTGTGGTGAAAGTGTTGAATGATGATGAAAGTATTTTCTTTTTGGGGATTTTCTTTCTTTTTTGGGTCACCCTGCCTCGGTGGGAGACGGCCGACTTGTTGAATATATATATATATATATATATATATATATATATATATATATATATATATATATATATATTATATGCAATAAGATCACAGTAAACAGGTGATTTCAAAATATGCAAAACAACCACTCTGAAAGAATAGAGAAATTCCAAGCGCTTTCGTGACTACTCACATTATCAAGGAACTATGAAAGTGAAGCATCCAAGGAAGCTATATAAGGGGTCGGCCAGCACCTCACTATCAGATCCCACAACGGTTAAACACATGACGCGCGGCGAGCCAACTTGGATAGGTCCTTTGCAAAACTCACCCCCAAGCTATTTATTTGTCCAGTGTATTATTAAATTCTTCCCAAATTCTATTAATTATAAATGGATCTAATTTATATAAACCAAAGGAAATATTCATATTATTGTCAAAACTGCTTTTTATGAAACAAGATTCAATTATATTCCTGTCGACCATGGACTTGCTTGATATCAAGCAAGTCCATGGTCGACAGGAATATAATTGAATCTTGTTTCATAAAAAGCAGTTTTGACAATAATATGAATATTTCCTTTGGTTTATATAAATTAGATCCATTTATAATTAATAGAATTTGGGAAGAATTTAATAATTCACTGGACAAATAATTTTTAAATTTTCTTGGGTAGAATAGTTTGTGGGGTGAGTTGTGCAAAGGACCTATCCAAGTTGGGTCGGCGCGCGTCAGGATCTGATAGTAAGGTGCTGGCCAGACCCCTTATATAGCTTCCTTGGATACTTTACTTTCATAGTTCCTTGATAATGTGAGTAGTCACGAAAGCGCTTGGAATTTCTCTATTCTTTCAGAGTGGTTGTTTTGCATATTCTGAAATCACCTGTTTACTGTGATCTTATTGCATATATATATATATATATATATATATATATATATATATATATATATATATATATATATATATATATATATATATATATATATATATATATATATATAATATATATATATATTTTTTTTCAACAAGTCGGCCGTCTCCCACCGAGGCAGGGTGACCCAAAAAAGAAAGAAAATCCCCAAAAAGAAAATACTTTCATCATCATTCAACACTTTCACCACACTCGCACATTATCACTGTTTTTGCAAAGGTGCTCAGAATACAACAGTCTAGAAGCATACACATATAAAGATACACAACATATCCCTCCAAACTGCCAGTATCCCAAACCCCTCCTTTAAAGTGCAGGCATTGTACTTCCCATTTCCAGGACTCAAGTCCGACTATATGAAAATAACCGGTTTCCCTGAATCCCTTCACTAAATATTACCCTGCTCACACTCCAACAGATCGTCAGGTCCCAAGTACCATTCGTCTCCATTCACTCCTATCTAACACGCTCACGCACGCTTGCTGGAAGTCCAAGCCCCTTGCCCACAAAACCTTCTTTACCCCCTCCAACCCTTTCGAGGACGACCCCTACCCCGCCTTCCTTCCCCTATAGATTTATATGCTTTCCATGTCATTCTACTTTGATCCATTCTCTCTAAATGACCAAACCACCTCAGCAACCCCTCTTCTGCCCTCTGACTAATACTTTTATTAACTCCACACCTTCTCCTAATTTCCACACTCCGAATATTCTGCATAATATTTACACCACACATTGCCCTTAAACAGGACATCTCCACTGCCTCCAACCGTCTCCTCGCTGCTGCATTTACCACCCAAGCTTCACACCCATATAAGAGTGTTGGTACTACTATACTTTCATACATTCCCTTCTTTGCCTCCATAGATAACGTTTTTTGACTCCACATATACCTCAACGCACCACTCGCCTTTTTTCCCTCATCAGTTCTATGATTAACCTCATCCTTCATAAATCCATCCGCCGACACGTCAACTCCCAAGTATCTGAAAACATTCACTTCTTCCATACTCCTCCTCCCCAATTTGATATCCAATTTTTCTTTATCTAAATCATTTGACACCCTCATCACCTTACTCTTTTCTATATTCACTTTCAACTTTCTACCTTTACACACATTCCCAAACTCATCCACTAACCTTTGCAATTTTTCTTTAGAATCTCCCATAAGCACAGTATCATCAGCAAAAGTAACTGTGTCAATTCCCATTTTGAATTTGATTCCCCAAAATTTAATCCCACCCCTCTCCCGAACACCCTAGCATTTACTTCCTTTACAACCCCATCTATAAATATATTTAACAACCATGGTGACATTACACATCCCTGTCTAAGACCTACTTTTACCGGGAAGTAGTCCCCCTCTCTTCTACACACCCTAACCTGAGCCTCACTATCCTCATAAAAACTCTTTACAGCATTTAATAACTTACCACCTATTCCATATACTTGCAACATCTGCCACATTGCTCCTCTATCCACTCTATCATATGCCTTTTCTAAATCCATAAATGCAATAAAAACTTCCCTACCTTTATCTAAATACTGTTCACATATATGCTTCAATGTAAACACTTGATCTACACATCCCCTACCCACTCTGAAACCTATATAATATATATATATATATATATATATATATATATATATATATATATATATATTATATATATTATATATATATATATATATATATATTTATATTATATGTAACACACGACCCCTTCAACCATATATAGTTAAGTACACATGTGGAAAGCAAGTTCAATGATGGGTATGATTTTATAGGAAGCCAGAAAGACATTTTTCCTTCTAAAGTCAGGTAGTATTAAAATTCAATATTTCGATGATATTCTATCAATATAAAGAATAAAGGAACGTACCTAGGAGAGCGTGTTACCGTAGGTGGAGGCAGATAGGTACTGATTACTGACTGCAGATACAATGTATCTGCAGTTGAATGTTGAGAAGCTGATCTTCAAAGAATGTCTTTTATGTTACCTCTTACTGCATGTATTTGAGTCCCTGCTTTCCGTACCCCTCATCTGTTTTTGCTTATAGCTGGTCAAGTTACCCCATGATGCCCCGAAGCAACACTGAGCTACAGAGAATTTCCATTACCGCCTTCACTTGTATAATCCCATTTCCATTTGTTTCACTTGCAATTTATAGTAACATTTGATTTTCTCTCAACCCACAGCGTGATTTACTCTGTTCCTACTCCTTGCTTACATTGTTTGTTTGTTACTTATGTTATTGGATTCTTAATTTATCATTCCTTTTTCAGCAGTATTTCAATAAATACATTTGTCTTTGCATGGCTTTTTTATACTTTTAATTTAGATGTTGGAAGTTAATAGTTTCTCTTTGTTTCAGTTGCTTCCTGCACGATTAATTTTCATGTCCAATGATTATTTTATTTGTAGTTTGAACTGAAGCATTTCCCTTTTTTGTAACAGGTATATATTAGTGTCTAATTTAATTTTTGCATGATTTCCTTGTGTATGTAGTGCGACTTTTAACCGAGAATACAAAAGCACGATGTGTATATATACGCACACAGGTGCGCTATCGTACGCCGAGCTTGGAACGCTCGTCGATGCCTCGGGAGGAGAGTACGCTTATTTCTTGCAAGGTTTCGCACCGGGGGAGAAGAGGAGGTTATGGTGGGGCCCCATACCGTCCTTCCTGTTCGCGTGGGTGTCATTATTCTTGCTGAAGCCTTCCTCGCTGGCCATCATCTGCCTCACCTGCTCAGAGTACTTTGTGAGAATATTCAACGCGGGTAGCAGCATCAACTGCCTCCCACCAGATCTGGCCATCAAACTCTTCGCCGCCTTTGTCATAAGTACTAACCACAGCTCTCTCGTACCCGTTTCTTTATCGCTTACATAAATTTATCTGCATTTAAATTGCAAGAAAAGTCAATTTATAAAACTTTAAAAAATATGGAGACGTTTCAGTGGTATGCTTGAAAAAAAAAGTATAATTTTCATCGGGAAAATGATATGGCAGTTTTTCATAAAAAATGTGAAGTTCAGATATCAGACAACTTGCAAGAGCATGGGTAATATGTCCTGAAATTCTGAATGTATTAAATAAAACGCTGGCTGTCAATACTTGCTTGTTAAAGGCATACAATAAAAAGTAGAAATAATGCAGTAAAATAATCAGACTAATATAATAGTTAATTATATCCTCTGGTACACCTCATCCAGTCTTCGACATGGGTCGTCTGAACAAAAAACTGAGGTTTGGATAATGAGGCAGGGGAAGGTGGATGTATGGTGTGTGTGTGCTGTTTTGTGTCATTTAACTCAAGATTAAAGAATTATCAAATACACACACACAAGCACACCGCACACACGCAGACTACACACAAACACTCCCCCCACACACACGCTACACACACGCTACACACACACGCTACACACACACGCTACACACACACACGCTACACACACACACGCTACACACACAACGCTACACACACAACGCTACACACACACGCTACATACACAACGCTACACACACACGCTACACACACACACACGCTACACACACACGCTACACACACGCTACACACACACGCTACACACACGCTACACACACACGCTACACACACACGCTACACACACACGCTACACACACACGCTACACACACACGCTACACACACACGCTACACACCACACCACACACACCACACACACCACACACACACACCACATACACACACCACACACACACACCACACACACACCACACACACACACACCACACACACACACACCACACACACACAGGCAGGATCCATACATAGCTTTAAGCAGAGGTATGATAAAGCTCACGGTTCAGGGAGAGTGACCTAGTAGCGACCAGTGAAGAGGCGGGGCCAGGAGCTTGGACTCGACCCCTGCAACCTCAACTAGGTGAGTACACATACATACACAACACACACACACACACACACACACACACACACACACACCACACACACACACACACACACACACACACACACTGTCGTGCCAAATAGGTAAAACTGGTCAATTAGCAAGAACTCGTTTAAAATTAAGTCCTTTCTAAAAAAAAAAATATTATACGGTTATATTTTTTCGTTAGTTTCAGAATGATTTTTGCGAAATTATTGCTTACACAAAGTTTCGCTTGCCTTATTCGGTAAGAAGAGTATTACTATTTAAGCCAGAATCGCAAGGTTTTATCTATTCGACACGAGATATATATATATATATATATATATATATATATATATATATATATATATATATATATAATATATATATATATATATATATATATTATATATATAGTGAAAATCTGAATATATTAGATACTTAAGATATATAATGTGTATGCGTATGAAGGTTTTACACTTCACAATCTAATTTTAACTGTACCATCAGGCACAGTTAACATGATAGCTCCACTATACCACAACCTGAGGCCTACTTTAGTAGAGCATCTCAACAAAGCAACCCTACATATATTCTTACTGTACTTCCCCAACCTAATCCCACCATAGTGTATCTCACTACAGTACAACCCTGAATCTCAGGGTTGTCAGACCCTAACTTGATTTGGCGTGAAATCAGCAGCCATAACAGTGTCACGAGGCTGTTACACTGAGATGAGATGTGTATGTACACTCATAGTTTAATTCCTAATTTAGGTACTAAAACATTTTTAATTGGTGAACATGTGTATTGCAGCCTTTTTACCCTCATGCAGTCAATATGCTTTAAAACTAACATAGTAAAATTTAGTACAATTAACTTGTTTAATACGCGCCCCATGCGCGTCTTCTCCCTCTCTCTCCTCATCCCGTGCAGTCCTCATTACCTTCATCAACTCGTACTCTGTGAACCTGGCGACGAGGGTGCAAAACGTTTTTACGGCGGCTAAGCTGGTGGCCATCCTGATCATCGTGGTGGGCGGCATGGTGAAGCTAGGCCAGGGCAACACACAGTATCTTGCTACAGGCTTCCAGGGCTCTACCAAGAGCTTTGGTGACATCGCCACAGCTTTCTACAGTGGCCTCTGGGCCTATGATGGCTGGTGAGTGTGAGAGAATGAGAATGAATTGAGAGAAAATGAGAATGGAGGCAAGTGAGACTGAAAGCAAGAACAGTTGTTGATGCATGCTCCAATTTCTATACGAGAGCCGTCAGCACTACTATCTGCACTAGCGGATTAAAGAACAGAACTGTCAACATAATTTGTGGAAGAGAAAATTGTGTAACTAAGGCATCAGTACAACTTGAAGGCATTATGCTTGATTTTAAGGCAAAGTTTTGACTGATTAAAGTTTTTTTTTTTTTGGGGGGGGGGAAGGATAGTGGTAAATTACTAAATTAATCTTCGGATGTGGACGTTGAAATGCTGAAATAATTTCTTCTGGCGAAAATTGGATTATGCAGCCGTGGCGTGGTGTCCACACCCAAAAAAATGTGGATAGGCTAAAAGTAGATGGGTTTCAGTGTCTGTGAGGTCCTAGAGACGTATACCGAGTTTTCTGTGACTGGCTTCATTTGAAAATGCTTTATGCAACACACTATTTTTTTTTATTGAAATTGGCAAGTTGACATCAACATAGCCCGAAACCAGTCAAAACATTCCTTTATGTAAGATACGCCAGGCTTGAAATTTTGAAATCAAACAGTAAAGGTATTCTCCAGCAGAAATCAGTATATACCAGTTTGCTCAACTAAGTTGGCATAACACAGCCCAATAACAGTCTGAACCACCTATCTCTTGATAAGATACACAAGCATTAAATTTTTTTAAGTCGATCATAAGAGAGGTTCTCAAGTTATCACTGAGAAACCTTAGTGGAAGAAAAAAAAAATCTGACAATCACTCAGACACTTAGATAAAACTTTGAGTTAAAATGAAAGGCTGACAGCACTAAGAGGAGAAAAATGCCCCAGAAATGCCAGTGCGTCATCGGGGACTGTCTTATTTCCATTAGGGCCCATTACTTTTGGAACCCCAGGATTCGACCCACACCAGTCGACTAACACCCAGGTGAGCAGGGACAGCAGGTGTAAGGAAACATGCCCAACGTTTCCACTCATGCCTGGGATTAAACCACGGACACTTATGTGAGGCGAGAGCATTGGCAACCAAGCCACGGGATCACCACTTTTCATAATCAATAGCTTTCGAGTTAACTTGTAATCCATGCCACTTATATGTAACCATTGTAAGCTCAGGTGGGAAATAAATATAAGTTTCATATATAAAGTCATATAAGGTTACAAATAATAGGAAGATATACTAAGCAACACAGACCCCAACTTATGCCTGGAACAGATTAACTTGGTGGCACTCGATGTATGCACAAGGCTTATTCCTCTAAGAAAAAGGAGGAGTAGATGTAAAATAGAAAGAGACAGGCGCTCCCTTTACAGGCGACGGAAAAGAATAACAGAGCGGCTAAAAGAGGTCAATATATCTGAAATGCGTAGGGAGACACTGGTCAGAGAAATAGCAAACATCGAACTTAAGCTAAAGGAATCTTATAGGAGTCAGGAATCGCGGGAAGAACTAAAAGCCATAAATGAAATCGAAAGAAACCCAAAGTATTTCTTCTCCTATGCCAAATCAAAGTCGAGAACAACGTCCAGTATTGGGCCCCTACTTAAACAAGATAGGTCCTACACAGATGACAGCAAGGAAATGAGTGAGCTACTCACGTCCCAATATGACTCAGTTTTTAGCAAGCCGCTAACCAGACTGAGAGTCGAAGATCAAAATGAATTTTTTATGAGAGAGCCACAGAATTTGGTTAACACAAGCCTATCCGATGTTATCCTGACGCCAAATGACTTCGAACAGGCGATAAATGACATGCCCATGCACTCTGCCCCAGGGCCAGACTCATGGAACTCCGTGTTCATCAAGAACTGCAAGAAGCCCCTATCACGAGCCTTTTCCATCCTATGGAGAGGGAGCATGGACACGGGGGTCGTCCCACAGTTACTAAAAATAACAAGACATAGCCCCACTCCACAAAGGGGGCAGTAAAGCAACAGCAAAAAACTACAGACCGATAGCACTAACATCCCATATCATAAAAATCTTTGAAAGGGTCCTAAGAAGCAAGATCACCACCCATCTAGAAACCCATCAGTTACACAACCCAGGGCAACATGGGTTTAGAACAGGTCGCTCCTGTCTATCTCAACTATTGGATCACTACGACAAGGTCCTAGATGCACTAGAAGACAAAAAGAATGCAGATGTAATATATACAGACTTTGCAAAAGCCTTCGACAAGTGTGACCATGGCGCAATAGCGCATAAAATGCGTGCTAAAGGAATAACAGGAAAAGTCGGTCGATGGATCTATAATTTCCTCACTAACAGAACACAGAGAGTAGTCGTCAACAGAGTCAAGTCCGAGGCAGCTACGGTGAAAAGCTCTGTTCCACAAGGCACAGTACTCGTTCCCATCTTGTTCCTCATCCTCATATCCGACATAGACAAGGATGTCAGCCACAGCACCGTGTCTTCCTTTGCAGATGACACCCGAATCTGCATGACAGTGTCTTCCATTGCAGACACTGCAAGGCTCCAGGCGGACATCAACCGAATCTTTCAGTGGGCTGCAGAAAACAATATGAAGTTCAACGATGAGAAATTTCAATTACTCAGATATGGTAAACACGAGGAAATTAAATCTTCATCAGAGTACAAAACAAATTCTGGCCACAAAATAGAGCGAAACACCAACGTCAAAGACCTGGGAGTGATCATGTCGGAGGATCTCACCTTCAAGGACCATAAACATTGTATCAATCGCATCTGCTAGAAAAATGACAGGATGGATAATGAGAACCTTCAAAACTAGGGAGGCCAAGCCCATGATGACACTCTTCAGGTCACTTGTTCTATCTAGGCTGGAATATTGCTGCACACTAACAGCACCTTTCAAGGCAGGTGAAATTGCTGACCTAGAAAATGTACAGAGAACCTTCACGGCGTGCATAACGGAGATAAAACACCTAAATTACTGGGAGCGCTTGAGGTTCCTAAACCTGTATTCCCTGGAACGCAGGTGGGAGAGATACATGATTATATACACCTTGAAAATCCTAGAGGGACTAGTACCGAACTTGCACACAAAAATCACTCACTACGAAAGCAAAAGACTTGGCAGACGATGCAACATCCCCCCAATGAAAAGCAGGGGTGTCACTAGCACGTTAAGAGACCATACAATAAGTGTCAGGGTCCCAAGACTGTTCAACTGCCTCCCAGCATACATACGGGGGATTACCAACAGACCCCTGGCAGTCTTCAAGCTGGCACTGGACAAGCACCTAAAGTCGGTTCCTGACCAGCCGGGCTGTGGCTTGTATGTTGGTTTGCGTGCAGCCAGCAGTAACAGCCTGGTTGATCAGGCTCTGATCCACCAGGAGGCCTGGTCACAGACCGGGCCGCGGGGGCGTTGACCCCCGGAACTCTCTCCAGGTACTCCAGGTTAACAGGAAGACCAAGAGGCCACAGTTGTAAACAAAAAACTATTCTAAAATTATACTAAAAATTTTTTGGTAGAACAGTGTAATAGTACATAAGATGAGGTAATAAGTTCTACAGTCACTAGAAATTAAAAAAAATACATGATATATTTAAAATTGAAGACAGGACAAAACGAGCATAGAATCACACAGAATGCTGACCAAACCTCCGGTCAATGTCATTTAGAAGTCCCATAAATTAATGTTACTTCCCATGGTTTGTAATACATTATACAAGTGCTATAGGTGACGACCATTTTTTTTTCTTCCACGCAAGGAACACAACCTCATACTTGGTGTCAGAGGAATACTCAAGAATCCTTACAAGGAGTATTTGCCTGTAGGGCCTCAACTAGTAAGTGGAGGAAGTCTGGACCGGACACCAATTACGGCCCCCCCACCAGCGCGAGCGCGAGCGCGAGCGGAGAGAGCTCTCTCTCTCGCTCTCTCTATCACCTTCTCTCTCTCTCTCTCTTCTCTCTCTCACCATTCTTCTCACACCATTCTCTCTCTCACCTTCTCTCTTCACTTCTCTCCCACCATCCTTCTCTATCTCACCTTCTCTATCTCACCTTCTCTCTCTCACCTTCTCTCTCTCACCTTCTCTCTCTCAACCTTTTCTCTTCACCGTCTCTCTCTCACATTCTCTCTCTCACCTTCTCTCTCTCACCTATCTCTCTCTCACCTTTCTCTCTCACCTTCGCTCTCTCTCACCTTCTCTCCCCTCTCCTTCTCTCACTCTCCTTCTCTCCTCTCCTTCTCCCTCTCTCCTTTATCTCCCTCTCCTTTCTCTCCCTCCTCCTTTCTTCCCTCTCCTTCTCTCCCTTCCTCATTCTCTCCTCTCCTTCTCTCCCTATCCTCTCCCTTTTCCTCTCTCCTCCCCTCTACTTCTCTCCCTCTCCTTCTCTCCTCTCCTTCTCTCCCTCACCTTCTTTCCCTACTCCTCCTCCTTTCTTTACTCTTCCACCTCCTCCGCCGTGAGTCGTGTTTTAAAGATAAGTTTCACATATTTTAAATGAAGCTACAGCATTTGATTCTGCATTAAAGGTTAAAATTTTTAAAAAATTACTAAACTGCTGCTCTTATTATTTTGCACTATTATCACACACCTAATTGACCCAGATATTTACGTTTTCCTTTAATAAAAGCTCCTCGATATTAATATTTGTTAGGTTAAAGGACACAATATATATAATATATATATATATATATAATATATATAATATATATATATATATATATATATATATATATATTTTATATAATATATATTATATATATATATATATATATATTTATATTATATAATATACTATATATATATCTATATATATTATGTATATTATATGTATATATTTTATATATATATATATATATATTTATATATATATATACTATATATATATATATTATATGTTATATATATGTATATATATATAATATTAAATATATATATATATATTAAACTATATTATAATATATATATATATATATATATATATAATATGATATATAATATATATATATTATTATATATATATATATATATTATTATAATATATATATATGTATTATATATATATATATAATGTAAATATATATATATATAATTATATATATGTATATATATATTATGTATTTTTATATATGTATATATATTATGTATTTATTATATATGTATATATATATGTATTTATATATATGTATATATATATATGTATTTATATATATGTATATATATATGTATTTATAATTTGTAAT